TAAACGGACCAATCTTCAATGTGATTGGTCAATCATATAGGGGTCTCTATGCGACGGGTTGCTAATTTATTTTTTCCATAACGTAAAGATAATTTATATAATAAAACTTTTATCAATTAAAATTTTGAAAACATCTTTTTACCGACACAATATAGTACAAACACTTCAAAAAATTCAAAATTGCTAAAGTGATTTCCAACGATCGTAATTCTTAAGGATTTTCTGCTGCATTTCGATAACATAAAAATGCCTTTTCTTCATCAATTTCAGTCCCTATTCCTAAATTATAACAATCTCCAAGTCTATTATATGCTTTTGTATATCCATTTTCAATTGATATTTTATATAATTCAAATGCTAATTTTTCATCCTTTTCTGTACCTATGCCATTTTCATAACATGATGCAAGATTATGTTGCCCTACAGGTAATCCTTTCAATGCTGCTTTTTTATAATATATGAATGCTTTTTCTCTATCCTCTTCAATTCCATTACCTGTATCATAACAATATCCAAGATTATTATATCCTGCAATATCTTCTTTTTCAGCTGAACTTTGAAAAAATTTAAACGCTTTTTCATAATCTCTCTCAATCCATTTTCCATCACTATAACAATGTCCTAGAAAACATTGAACTATCGGATTTCTTGATTACTTAAGCACCAGTTTATTATAGTTTCTGGTTTTTGCTGTTTTTTCTTGAAAAATTCATCCATTAAGTCATAAATTATATTGATATATTTTCCTTTCATTCTTTCTTGATTATATAAATCGCACAATTCTTTTACAATTTGCCTAAAAAAATCTTTTGAGCTATTATTATAACCTGAATTTAGATTATTATCTCCTATGTTCAATGTTTTATAATTATGCGTTAATTGATCAAGGACTTTTTGTATAGTGTAGTTGAAATTTGGAATGGCATTATTAAAAAATAATTTATTTTTTATGACCCCATTTCCATTATGTATTAATTCTGTTTTCAGTCGTTCAAAAGAGTATGCAATTTCTTGAATGCTAGGTCGTCTTGCTGGATCTTTCTGCCAGCAATCTATTAGTATAAAATATATATTAAATTATTGATTAATCAATTTAACCATTGTGTTCAACGATTGATTGTAAATATGACTATATAACATACCAGTATATATAATAGCATAAGGTATTGGTGTTCCTTCGATAAATTTTTCTCTAACTCCGTCTAATATATCGATCATTAATTCAGAAAGTCCGTATGTTCCATTTATTGCTTCAAATGGTGGATAACCACTAGAAATTTCCCATAAAAGTGCACCTAAACTATATATATCTGACTTTTTACTTACTTTACATTGTTCTTTATGTTGAAAGCATTGAAGATCTACGTATTGAAAAATCTTTGGAAATTTATTGGATAAGTTGAAAACATAAGGTAATCGTCCAGAAAGTTCAATGTCTGTAATTTTAATATTATCTTCATGCACTAAAATATTATTTGAATGCTATATGCATTAATAATAATTATATTATTATTATTATTATTATTATTATTAAAGATAAGAAAACAGTAAATTAAACGTTGTTTAACAAAGAAATAAATTTTAAATCTATAAAAATTTTTAATTACAAGATTTCCATGTATGATTTCTTTTTCATACATAAATTTGATTCCATTAACAAGTTGCTGTGCTAAATTTAATTTATGTTCCCAATTAAGCTTGTAAAAAGTGTTTTGTAAATAAGTTGTAATCGTTCCAACGTCGGCATACTCGTGAACTAATAGATATTGAAGATCTAAAATTTGCAGAAGAATTTGAGTATATTTAGCATATTTTCATGATTCTAAAATTAAAATTTAAAAATTCATAATTCAAGCCATTATATAAATTAGATGTAGAAAAGTAAAAACATAGAGTTCAAACAAAAAGCCCTCTACCTTTTGTCGCCTTTCGTTTATAATTATATTTCAAACTTATAAGCATAATAATAACTCAGATTAAAATCCGTTTATCCTACTGTACCTTCTTTCTTGGTGATTCCATAAAATTTTATAATATTATCATGTATGAAATGAGTGCCGTCAAGGGAAAACCTGCAATCGGGCTTTCAATGTTCAGTTTGTTTTCTGTGTGCCATCTAGGAATAGTCTATTATCGGCCTTTAATTATATTTTGACAAAATATAATTTAAAGCCCGATGATAGACTATTCCTAGATGGTACACAGAAAACAAACTGAACATTGAAAGCCCGATTGCAGGTTTTCCCTTGACGGCACTCAAATCTTTATATAAATTGACCTTAGTATACGTATTAAAAGTTAGAATATAATATAATTTATAATCATAAGTAAAATCAAGAATACTACAGTTAAAGTACTTCATTTAAAATTTCTTTGACAGTAATTGCATCGATATTTTCGAATGATTTCAAAGCGACACTAATGTTAACTGTTTCTACAACTGCATGATATGTGCTTCCAAAAGTTCCTGAACCAATTAATAGAATATTTTTAAATGCATTATACTCAATAGATTTATCACTTAGTAATTCTTTAAATGGGTCGTTCGTTTTATTGGGTAAACCTTCAAAGGTCTTGTTTTTTTTTTTGCTATAAAATGAAAGATTGTTAAGTGAAAGTTGAAAAATTTTTTTTATTCGATGTTTATATGTTACGTAATTGCAAATCATTATTTGTGTAATTATCAATATGTACACCTATGTACATAAACGTAGTTGTTTATCCAACGACATTTTCTCATAAAGAAATACTTCTTTATTTTTGTAATGAACCATTTACTATGTTTGTTACAAGTTTTGTAATTATCCTTAGAATGAAACAATTTCAATCCATTTTTAATCACTATAATTATCGTTTGAACTCTGCGACATAACTTTTAGTAATAATGTAATTAAAAATCATGAGTTAATAATTCTAATAATCCGTTAAATATTTTGGCATTATTACAACAAAATTGTTACAAATTGCAATTCGTTAGCAAAGGTACGAATATATGTATTTATTATATATTTCGGTTATCGATTTAAATTACTTAGACTTTGAATATAATATTTTAATTCGGGGTGGAGTACTTGAAGTGCTTTTGGATGATATGTAAGACGAATGAAAATTTTCTGTTGATATAATACTTAATTGATGTCTGGCAAACAGAAACCATATGATCTTATGAAAACGTGACTTAGATTATTATAGTACAGAAATTGCGAAATTAGGATATATCATGGGAGGTTAGGATAGCAGATAGTACATATTGTACGTACGTACGATATACAATTTTAAAAAAGAAATCTTTATTATCTGTTATAATAGCCTCTTTGTGTGTTCTCTTTTAAAGGTTGTGTATTATCGTTGTTTTTTTTGTTTTTTTTTTGTTACAAGGATTACCGTATATTTTAACATTGCGGCGAATTTATGAAATTAGAGTTATTTTGACTAACGATGAAATGCGTCATTTACTATTTGTTTTTTGACATTTCTTATTGTAAATTCATATAGATAACGTCTAACCATCGTTTTATGGGAAGATCGGTTAGACGTTATCTACATGAATTTACAATAAGAAATGAAAAAAACAAATACTAAATGACGCACTTCATAGTCAAAATATAAATTCGCCGTGATAATGAATGCACCATTAAAGAATTCAAGAATTATTAAATGAACAACATAATAAATCTGCATATTATAAGTATATTCAGTAAGTATTTCTAAATAAGTCGATTTATATAATTTTTCGTACCTATCTAATTTAAAAAAAGTTTAAAATTTTCGCTCCGTTTTAATGCAAATGCAATTATACAATATTAAGTTCCTATTCTTTTTCTTATTCCAATTCTTAATTAAAGCAAAATTTAAAATGTCATTTAGGCCAGGAACACGACATCATACTACCACATTTATTAGTTATAGAAATAAGTTATATATATTGGATAGTGTTTAGGTAATCAAAGTGGTAGTGACCAGGAAGAGTGTGTTTTTTTCGTTTCATTCAATACCAAAAAAATTCTAGAATTGCAAGATTTAACATGTATGAATCTAGTTTTCATCACGCTCTGATGCTACAGCTATTATAGGAGGACCTAATGATAAGACTTTAATTCTGTCTGGAATCGTTTAGTCCTATCTAAGCATTCGATGCACATGGAGTATTTCACTCATGGTTGATATGATAGCAAAGTATTCCTCTTCTATAATCACTTATATAATTTGTATATTATTATTATAGTAGAAGTTATTAATTTTAAGAGAGAACCGTATAAATATAATGGATATGGCGCAAATGGATTTGTTATTTAAAACTCAATAAATTTGAATTGGGAAAAAGGAGTATTCTAAATAAGCCTTCTGTAAGATTTTAAGGTTCTACTAATTTGTCAAATTAAATTACCTACTTGATCTTTAGTATAGGTTGGCATATAGAATTATTGTGGGGGATTATGCTGAAATGTCACATAAGCTATATGAAAGATATACTATACGGATCTGCAAAATTATAGAAACTAACGCTTATATATATAATACCTAGTCCGTATAGTATAAATTTAAAAATCGGCCTATACTATACTAATCTGCTCACCTATACCATACTGATCTGCAAAATATGTCCTTTTCCCTAACCATAACCCTAAAAAAAAAAATTGTACTATATATTTTGCGGAAATGTAAAAAAACTTCATATTTACTAATATAAAATTAAAGCATAATTCTGGCCGACCGGCCCAAAATTTTTGTAATTCGGGCCGGAATTTCAGCATAATCTATTATAAAATTACATAATATATATAAATTATCTATTTTGATTTAAATTATTAAATTTATAAATACAGAAATAGTTAGGGTGAGAGTCTTTAGCTCAAAATGGGCGATTTTCATATACATGTATATCATAATTCATATGCCCACCTATACTAAAGAAGATCCTAATTTCATGTAATTAGCTCATTAAAATTTTAATTGATGATACAGTATCTTAATCAGTGCACGGCACAATCTGACAGTCAAATACTTGTGATTAAAATTGGACATCAATCAAATCGCAGATTAACCAATACTATAAATATTCATATATACAAATGTAAATAATGTAGTATTCGTTTGTGCCTATGCCTGTGCCAAATTTTTATGCTCGTGCCCATGCCCATGCCTGTGCCTTCTGTTAGGTATGGGCATGAGCTCGGGATGCAGACTCCTAGTGCTGAGCATTAATCTTAATAACTACTAAATCAAATTTGATGGAAATTTTTTTTTAGGGTTTTATAATTTATTGCTAGTCTAATAGCTAGGGTAGTATTACATAAATTACTTTGTTATGTTTCATGTAAATTATTTTAAGCTAAGTTTTTTAACAATGACTATTTATCTCAATTACATTTGTTTCTAAAAACATAAATTTAAGATTTTTAATTTTTATTCTTTATTATAATTATATTCTTTATTGTTATAATTATCAGAGTTATATATGTCATTATTATCAAAAATATTATTGAAAAAATTTGAAAGATTATTTTTAAGCTCTTCATTATCAAGAATAATGCTTTGTTCTTGATTATTTAAGTTAATATTTTACATTTTTTGAAGATCTTTAACTGATATAGATCTTTCTGATTTACAAATAATTCTTGTGTTTCAATAAATATAAACAAGTTTTTTTGCTTTCTGAGTAAGTATCTGATTATACAACTTAGAATGAATAAATTTATAAACAGATTAATTATATTCATATGCTGCTAAAGTTGCACTAATTGGCAAAACTTTATATACAACTTGGTTCAAACCCATATATTGTATATTTAGTAAATTCTACCAATTAATTGGTTTTGAGATAAGATTTTTTCATGGATACTTTTTAGCAAAACCTTCTAATTTTTTAATTTATTCTGCTAATTCATCTAATACTTTATCTTTATTACCAAAGGAAATACTTTTATAGCGCTATAGTGCCATGGCACTACCCTTATATAAATAATAAGATTGGTGTAACATGTAAATCAAAACAATTTATTTAAAACAATAATATAATTCTTTTAATATTAGAGTAAGGATAAAGATTTAATGTTAGATTAAACAAGAATTATAGTAAAATTTTGTAAGAAATTTTTTTTTGCACAAAAAAAAAGCAGTTTTATAGACAAAATTTTGAGTTAGAGGCAATTTTTTAAAAAATTATCTGTTTTGTTACACAAAGCTAATTTGTATATTATACCTGATCTTAAATTTTAATTGGCCATAACATCCTAGTGCTATAGCATCATAATGCTAAAAAAATATTCTCTTTAGATAATACCAATAAAATGAATTTTGAGTTGTATTCAGTACTTGCTAAGGAAGATGTGATGAGATTTCCATTAGCATATATGCTATTAACTACGGCTACTGCAATAAATAATAGTATTCGTATACTAAGAGTTACAGAGTTTTTTGATAAGTTGCGTTATAAAGGAGTAAACTCTATTTATATAATAACAGGTAAAGATTCTACACAGATTTTAATAGCGAAAAGTATATGGCCAAATACTTATATCCAGCTTTGTTTTTGGCACCTGAAAAGGGCAATAAAAAGACAACTGTCATTAAATAAAAAGCCAAAGATAACTTGGTATTTTGCAGAAAAGGCAAATAATGAATTTTCCTTTATCGATCTTGATTTTTATTTTGAAATAAATAAGAAGAATAAAATCAATCAACCAACTTATTCTAATAGCCAGTCGCAAAATAAAAAAGTTGTATTTATCTTTTGTTCTTCCAAGCATCATAATCCTATTCTTAATCTTATAGCTAAACACTTTAACCAACATCTTTTTATTCCTGTATTTGATAATCAATACTATTTTTTGAATCAAATTCATGAGGCTGCTATTAAAGAAATATATGCATATTGTAAGAATAATAATCTTAAGTGAGCATGGTTATATTTGTGGGTAGAGTAGTATAATATATTGAAATGGTCAAACTGAGCATGAAGTACAAAAAATGAAATTTCTGTGTTAAAAACAATGATGATCGCAAAATCATACTGGAAACTTATTAAGCATAATTACCTTTATAAATTTAATAAACCATGTGTTAATCTACTAGTATGGGTTCTTGTAGAGTGCCTTCTTCCATAATATATTATTAAAATATAGCAACTAAAACAGGACCATAAAAGAATTATAGCATCATGGCATCTAGCCTTTAAATATACTTGAAAAGCATGTTTAAAAAAAACCTTGAGCAGTAATTCTTATATAACTAATCCAGAATTATGAACTTGTTCATGTCCTGCTTATCTCAACAATCATTTTCTTCTTTGCAAACATCTTGTACAATCAGTTTGTCCTTTAATCCCAAACTTTTTTGTTGAGGTTAAATATTATTAAATTTCACCTTTTTGGAGATATAAAAATCTAATCTCACTAGCACAAGGCTTAGACCCAGTAGATAAAGATGAATCTGAAACTGATAAACAAACAGAAAATGAGCTTGATGAACTGTTTAGTGATGAAATTGATGAATAACTTGTAGAAACAATTCAGAAATATGAAAAAAATAAAAATGAAAATATTAATCATACTATTGTTGAAGAATCTGATGAAGCATAGGAAGAAGTTAATAACTGTATTACAAGCAAACTTCAGAAATAGATAAACCTGTTAAAGAGTCAAAAGCAATATAAAGATCCACAATTTTTGCTAGTAGCAGAAAATACTATGAGTGGAATAGTAAAGATGCTTAAAAAGTATGAGAAATTAAA